GAGAGGGAAAGTGAGAAATGACCCCCCCAGGGGGAATGTTTTAATGCGATCCCTTCTCCATTTCCCTCCCAGGAGCTTGGACAAACACACACACACACACACACACACACACACGTAAGTACCCAGCGTAAGTTTCAAGCCACTGGATCTGGGACTCAAACCACAACTGGCCATGTGGGAGTCCAGCAACGTAACTGCTATGCCATGCTGGTCCCCGGAGGCTGTTTCTTTAATTCAGTTCATCAGACTGCCAGTGGTTGGGGTACTGCTTTCTGAGCTCCAGCAGGATACCCTTCCACGCCAGCGCGCTCTGATCTGCAGACACCCACCTGCTCAGTGCCAAGGACTGGACGTGCCTGATGGACAAGACTCTCCCTTGCCCTCAGTCAAGGGGTTCAGTCACAGACAGAGGGAGAGAGACAGAAAAGAGGGAAGACATCAAGGGCCCCTCAAGGAACGAGCAGGGGCATACTTGAACCAGACGGATTCCACCTTGTTAAATCAAAGTGTTTTTCTTCCAGCCTGACATTGTTCGAGATTTCTCATAGGCGTCCCAAGGGGACAGTCAACCTGGAGCTTGAAAGGACGAGGGGTGCCCTGTCCCAGCTAACACTGAAACTCCAGTCTTAAAGACAAATCTCTGGGTTGTGCCCTAAGCTACAAATGAACCTGATCTATGCTTTTCCGTAGAGAGACACTAGCCCTACGATGGTCTCCCTCCTCTCATAAAAGCGACTGTAAACTGGCTGGCCGGTCAGAGATGTTCTTACATGTCTTCCTGGGGTGGCCACGCAGTAATCAATCTATCTGTCCTCTCTCACCAACTGCTTGGCCTCTTTTGTTGAGTGGAAAAGGATCAGACCTGCTTCGGGCCCCTGCCTGGGGATCAGGATCCCTCCTTTGGCAACAGTTTTACTCAGTCAGCCAGAAGCATCCCCTAGAGGCCATACCCATGGGAAGGGTCCACTCCTTGAGGCTGGCTGGCCCCAGTATGGGACTTTCAAGAGGGTGCCTAGGCGCTGCTGGAGCCAGTCTTAGCTCTAAGACTCCGTTCCTGGGTCCTCCCTCTCCTGGCACTAGCTGCTTAACTGTTGGAGGGATCAGGCCTGTTTTGGGTTCCTAAATCAAGGTGTAGGGCCCCTTGCCCCGCAACAGGACCAGTGTCCTCAGGCCCACAGAGCAGACCTAGCCCCCGGAGGGCACAGCGGCACCTGTGGACCCAACTGGTCCCGTTTTTTTCT